GGCATACTTGTCATCATTAATTTTTTAGATCTTAATAAAATAGGGTTAGAGGAGAATGGAGAATTAATTCGACTCCTTCTCTTACCTCTTCTCTTCGCCATCTTCTTCTCTTATACAGTTATTCAGATCTGTTTTATTCTGCTAATCACTGAATTTAAACTTGATATTAGAGGACTGATTTACATCTTCCTACCATTGACCCAGCTCATATTGCGTGGTATGGTGCTACCTAATAGTTGCTATTTTCTGCTCAGATCAGGAGGAGAGAGCTAGAATTTATTTATCCATTGGTCTTATGCTGTCCCAAGTGTTCACCCACTTCTTGCAACTGTTTGGCCTTCTCTAGTCCCCCCCCTACATCCAATCACTTGTGTCATCCTGGAAGGTTAAAGGGTGGTTGACAAGAGGCAGAGTTCTTTGGAACCTAGTACCCCCTGCTTTTTCCTTGGCTCTCTTCTGGGCTATCTGGAGAAAGAAACTACCACATCTTTGAAGGTAAGTCTAGCCCTTGTGAGACATTAATTAGCTAGACTAAATAGCAGCTCAGAAGTGGATGGGTGTCTTGCAATTTTTTTTTTTTTTTTTTTAAATTAATAGATTGGAGTTCATTTTGAATAACTGGAAGTTCAAGCCATTCTTTGTTTGTGATAATGAAATGACCCAAACTTTTAGCTTCCACTTGCAAGAAACATGGTATGGCTTAACTTGTTTCTACCATTAACAATCTTTATTTGTTGTAACCTAGTTGCTCAAATGGAGGTTTTTCTTTTAGAATGGAATCTGAGAAAGCTAATACCTCAAACCATAACCAGAAAGGGTTTCAACATTTGTAGACATCAAGCAAAGTCCTATACAGAAGAAGCCTTTTCAAGATAGACCAAAAAAAGGCCCACTACCCAGCGAAGGTGGGCCTTGCATGAAAAGGAAATTTGGATTGGACCTTGAAAAACCAAAGGCTTGAATCTGGGTGTTAATCGTCCCGCACCACAAAATAAAACACACTCAAATGGAGGTTACCTATTACATGTCGGTTATTTGCCTAGCTTACAATCCTTGGGTGCTAAGCTTTCTCATATTGAGGTTCACATTGTTTCCCTGTTGCCTTACAATCATCAAGCTTTTTTTTTTCTTTTTTTTTTGTTTTTTTATTTAGCTTGATAGCAGAGTGGAAGTTTGTTCCTGCATGCTGATTTCTGTTTGCTATTCTTTCTCGTGTAAACATACTCAAAAGTTGTGTATACTTTTTCTTGACAGGAAGTATTTGGAAGATCTGTGTTTGTGGGTGGAGTCAAACTCTACCACACTTGGTTTACTGACTTCACATGCTGAGATTGCACTTGGTTTCCTCTTAGTCATTTCACTTTTCTCGTCAGTTACTTAATTCCTTTTCTTTTGTCTTTGTTTCTGCCCTTTAACCCTTCCTATTTGCTCTTTTTAAGTCGAGTTTGGTGGATGCAGGTGGCAACGTAACATAATACAAACATTCATGTATTGGCAGGTTGTTATGCTTTTCTTGCCCCTCAGCATTCATAAATCATTATTAAGGAATTCTACATCCCCATAGCTTCGCCTATTCCTGTCATACTTTTAATTGCAGAAAGAAAATACAACTGAGAAACAATATTTAAAAAATAGTAATCTGAGCTAGCTGCTGAGGAGTTAATGACTTAGGTTCTATTACTGCCAAATGGTGCAGATGTAGGTGGGAAGAAACATAACAAGTCCTCATCAGTCCCTTATTTCTCCTTACCAGAATTAAATAAAAAAAAAACGAACCCTCCCTTATTGAGCAATGCAAGACCCATCCTGTGGGGATCAAAAAATTTATCAGAAAAAAGCTAAAGATGGATCTATATACTGGATGATTCCTATCTTTAATAATCAATGTGATTTTATGCCATGTTGACCTTACAGGTAGACCGTAGTAGTTTTTGACAGATTCAATACTCTTACGTGTGCCACATGGTAGTCACTAAGGTCAGATTTTGTAGGAAGAATTATTAGTAGCTGGTGTGGAACTAGTTTGTCTTTTTGCCTTTACCTTTCCGGCTTTTAAACCTTTTGAAAGAGTCTCTACCGAGTACCATTTTGGTAATTGCTTATTATTTTTGTGTTTTAAGAGTTAGACAATGAAACCTAATTCTATCATCGTTTTGTCTGTGTAACTCTTGTGCAGCTGTTGAAGCTCATGTACCATGCCCCAGTTACTGCAAGCTACCATCGGAGTGTGTGGACTAAAATTGGCCGGACTTTACATCCTTATGTTAACCGCCATGCCCCATTCTTGAACACCCCAATTTCTTCTGCTCAGAGGTGGTGGTTTAGGTAAATATGAAAGAGAAAAAGAAGAGAGGCGTACAGAGATCAAAGTGGCATATGGGGTTCACTTTTAACTACTGGAATCTCTTTATGGAAAGAGTGGTCGCTGATAAGACCATGCAACAATGTTGATTAAAAAACTATTCAAGTGAATCCTTTATTATGAAAACTTTTGTTGCTTTTGCTTTGCCCTTTTTCCTTTCTTTGTTGTTTTCCATTCATGCATTAGGTGTCAGTTAATGGGCTAGCTGGCTACTTTTGTTAAAATTTAAGGTTTACTGTGCAGTATGCGTCCATAAATTAGACTCCAGTGCGTCTGTTCTTCGTGCCAAAACATTGATGGCAACCAACCCATTGCCTGACCAGCAGGAGCAGCAGCAACCGGCTATCTATCCGGAAGCAGTATCATCAAGCAGTGCTTGGCACAGTTCAGGATCCGTGGGTCCATTCTTTGCTGTTATATCTGTTCTAACTGTGCTGGCGGTGCTATCCTGTGTGTTTGGTCGGGTCTGTGTGGATCGGACAGTGACTCCATTGGAGAGTATTAGGCACAGAAGTTACTTGGATTGGCTGAGACAGCGCTGTCGAAGGTGTATTAATGCCAAGCAAGAGTTAGGAGCCAAAGTGGTTGCGCCTATGGAAGGCAATGATGCCAAAGCACAGGATGTCGAGTCAATACCTCTTCCTCCAGCTTAATATCTTGGTTTCAGTTCAGATGACTGACTGCGCTGCATTGTTGAGTTTGGATCGGTCTCAGTTCCAAAAATTGGGTGAATATTATCCCTTAAGATGGAAAAGCTCGTCTCTATGTTTTGATTCGTTTCAGCGACCTGATTCGTTCCCTAGAAATGTGATTCTCTGGAGACCATGTAATTGGGTCCTAATGGTGGATCCTTGCATCCTGCAATTTCAGATAGTGATGCTGCGTGGTTCTGTGTCTCCCGTTATATAACCAACCACCAACTGTGGAATCCATCTCCCATGAGGGTTGGGACTCGTAAGCCTTGTAATTGTAATCGGATTGCTGCTCTGTCATCTGTGCTCTGCTTGCTTTATGGTTTTTAATGTAAATTTGGATGGATACCCACTTACCCATAAAATAAATAAGGAAAATCTTGACGGATTAACTATTCCACTGGCGTGGCTTCTCATTCATATTGCAGATTTGCAGTGGCTGGTTCTTCACTCTAAGGTGTCTAAATTTCAATCTGAGCTGCGCCATTTTAGTAGCACACCATTTGGTTTATGACCAGAATCAGTTTCTGCTGCTAATACGGTGATACAGTTGCACGTTGGGAACAGTGTTTTTGAACTGCCGTTGACCTGGATTGTTAGACCTTTTGGCCTGGAAATCATTTGTTCAAACCGGATGATCGAACTATCAACCTGGAAACTAGTGACTAAAATGGTTCTAATTCTGGGTCAGTTTTTAAATCCTTGATTGGGAATCTCCCGTATTTTTATGAATTCGGATTTGCTCCTTACAGTGCATCTCACACCAACCTCACATGTACTGTGCCGCTGTGAGGTTGGTGTAAGACACGCTCTACTTCTATGTTGTCTTTTTTCTTTTTCTTACTTGTATGTTATCATTCATGATGGATTTATCGTATTAAAAGCGTGTTGACACACTTTTCCTAGCAGGAGATCTGGGGTCTTATGATCATGGGACCAGTGTGGTCTGCCACTGGGCCTGATGATGCATGTGCACTTGTTTAATTGGCAATTCGTTTGGATGCACTGATCTACATTTACTACAAATTTAAGTAGCCCCACCCACCAACTCACCTACCATGGAGACTTTACACGGATACTATTGAATTGATTCATCGAGTTAAACAAGTAAGGCAAAAATGGAAGCTCAGGATAAATTTTCTCACTAAAAATACAATTTTCTTTGTAGAGTCTCTATTACCAACAATCATCCTATGTGGTACATAATTGCAACAATTCGCAGAGGGATCAAAACAAGTGAAAGGATAATCTATTATTATATTCTAAACTGCAGTTGTTCACCTCACCCTAGTCTCTCTTGCTTTCTTACCCCCCTTTTATAATTTTTTTTTATTCTTAATTAAAAAATTAAAAAAAAAAAGAACATGGGCTACTCGGAACTGATTCCCTATAAAACATGACCATCTTTTAACACCAGCCCACCACTTTATTAGGATAACATTCTTTAAATACTTAGCAGTTAACTCCTTTTTTAAAGGGATTTAATGGGATGGGCCTGGGCCTGGTCCTGACAGTTTTTTTTTTTTTCTGGATGAAGGAAATCGTGTCCATGTTTGTAGGTAAAGACGTCTTGGGCCTCTCCTGCAGCCTTATAAGCTATGAAACTATGCTTGATTAATCTATGATGCGAGAAAGACATGGTAAGAGAAGAGTTTTGACCAATCAAATTCATCCATAAATTTTGATTACACCTTATTCGTTATCACATTTATGATTCCAGTTGACTGGTTAGAAAATTTTCGGATATCATATCTTTTTCATATCATAGTCAGACCCAATAAACTGGAATTATAACTGTGATAGCGAATAAGATGTTATTTATCAAAATTCATGGGTGGATTTTGATTGGTCAAAACTCTTTCTATATTATATCTTTCCCCAATCATATGTCTGTTGGAGATAGATGACCTCCATTTTTGGCATTTTCATAACTTTTTCGCTACTTACAAAGGTTTCTCGATGTGGTTTTTCTTCTAGTGTTCACGGTTTGATTACCTTTTCTTGTTCAACAAGATTAATTTGATTTATAATTTTATATATTTTTCTTGCTTCTTACATTTCCTGGGTTGTAATCTGAGCATTTATTAATGAATTATGCCTTATAGCTTCAGAAAGAAAAAATATGTTTTTTTTTTTTCTGATAAATTACAACACCCACTTGTACTTGGGGGTCATGACAGTTGGCCCCCCTGAATTTTGTTTTTATACACAGATCCTCAATATTTTTGAATTTCAGCACTTTGCCCCCTACCATTTCCATTTAGGGGGCGTTCTTTTTTTGGCTTTTGAGAGGGGAAAGTTGGTCAATGGATTTTGGTTTCCATTGACTTAGAATCTTGTATTCTTTTTTCATATTTATGTGGGGATCAGGGAAAGTTTATTTTTCTGGGTATCACCACTTAAGTGATACCCATCTCCTACGTGGGTAAATAACTTTCTCACCTAGAGAGAAAGTTGTCAATACTTGAATGGGACAAAAATACCCCTTTTAATAATGAAATTTTATGGTTAAAACAAGGTTTAAAGTATCGACACAGGCCAATACGCTGGTAGGGCATATTGGCTTGTATCGATGTTTTTTTATGTTTTATTTATTTTTTTCAAAACCGGTTCAAAGGGGTCGGTTTAAGTCCCAACTACCCTTTGAACCATGTTTTGACCTGATACAACCCCTGTAAGGGCATATCGGGAAGCCACCAGCACGATATGTGTCGGTTGATACGGGCCGATACATATCAATACTTTGAACCTTGGGCTAAAATGGTCATTGCCTTTTTTACCTGGGAAACAAAAGAACATGGGTAAATGCACTTACCCGGACCTGGGTAAGTAACTTACCGAAAAGCGAACGAGCGTTAGTGAGTCAACTACACAGAATATTTCCATTTGACTGTCATGTGTAGATTCATATTAATAGGGAAAATTTCCGATTAGTACTTTGTACTTTGGGCCACGTGCCACTTTAGCCCCTGAACTTTAAAACGTGACAATTCAATACCTGAACTTTCAAAACGTGTCAATCCAATACCTATTGTTAATCAGCCCATTAATGGTTAATTAGTTGTTAAGTGGCATTTGAAAAGACACAAATGCCCTTCAAGTGTCATCTAATTTTCTTTATCAACCATCCAAACGTTGATAAAAAAATGTATAGTCCCAAATCTTTGACTCTTCTATTTAAGAAAGTTGGGCTCACCGGAATGCCCACTAAGACATGACTTCAACTTTCTCGAATAGAAGAGGCAAAATTTGGGATCGTTTATTTTTTATCAACGTTTGGATAGTTGATAAAGAGAATTAGATGACACTCGAAGGGCATTTATGTCTTTTTAAATGCCACTTAACGATGATTAATGGGCTAATTAACAGCAGGTATTGAATTGACACGCTTTGAAAATTTGGATACTGAATTATGAATTATTGCGTTTTAAAGTTCAGAGACCAAATTAATACTAGACCAAAAGTACAAGATAATAATTGAGAATTTTCCCTTTTTAATACCCAAACTACTTTGACCATTTTGCCCTTTTGACTTTGTTTCTTAAAATTACCAACATTTTTTATGTTTCTTTCAACAAAGGCCGATAACGATTCATGCCCACACCACATGCCCTCCATGGAAGTGCCGACTTTGAACAGCAGATCATCTTCAACACCTTGAACGAGCGGTTGATCTTCAAATACTGTGCTTTCCAATGGGTATAGTCATAATGGGCAAATTGGCAATTCCACCTTATGACAGATAAAAGGGGTGGGTGTCTGTAATTAATTCACTCTTCTTTTTTTTCCCTATTGGAAAGGTTTATTTATAGGCAATAAAATGGGCCAATGGGCCCATGGCCCCATACCCAAAACCCCACATCACCAATTTATTATTATTATTATTATTTTCAATAAAAGTTTCCACAATATGAATTAATAAAATGCGATTGCCAGTTATGTTTGCCACGGCCACGGGCGGGGGCTGAGGCAACTTCCTTGAACTTACCCAACAAACTAAAATCAAGCGTAATTGATGATTTGTCATTTGAGTTTGAGTCAAAAAATAACATTTATTCACCGACGCGCTTTGCTTCCCAAATTTCAATCATTCATTTACCAATCTCATGATTCTCATCTCCTCTCCTCTCCCAATCCCAAAACACAAACACCACCACCACCCCACGTCTATAACAAACCAACCTCCCATCCTTACCAGCTGCCCTCAACAATCCCAACACTGCTAGATTCCTGATCTCGCTTCCCTTTCTTTCGTTCATTCGTTCTTTCTTCGCCATCTTCCTCCTCTCCTCCTCCTCATGGCTCAGATTCATATTGAATCTGAACAGCTTAAACAACTCAAAGACATCTTTGCGCGCTTCGACATGGACAGGGACGGCAGCCTCACCCATCTAGAGCTCGCGGCTCTCCTTCGGTCTCTCGGCCTGAAGCCAACAGGTGATCAGATTCACGTCCTGCTCAGGAACATGGATCGCAACGGTAACGGGTCGATCGAATTCGACGAATTGGTCAATGCAATCTTGCCCGACATGAACGAGGATATATTCGTCAACCAGGAGCAACTTCTGCAGGTTTTCCGGTCTTTCGATAGCGACGGCAACGGATACATAACCGCGGCAGAGCTCGCCAAAGCGATGTCCAAGATGGGTCAGCCCCTTACATACCGAGAGCTCACCGATATGATACGAGAGGCGGATAGCAACGGAGATGGGGTCATTAGTTTTAACGAGTTCGCCACCATTATGGCCAGGTCCGCCGCTGACTTCCTCGGCCTCACCGTCAAATAGCCGGAGGCCGGAGAACGGAGATGGTTGTTACAATGGTGTTACCATGCCATCATGCCCATGGTCAACCATGCTACCATCACCATCATCATCGCCATCTCTCCCCCTCCACACGTCTTGGGCGGTTTTAATTTGACTTGACTGCATTTGACCCGGTCTTCTATTCATTGGAGAAAGAGTGTTTTGGTTATAAAGCGAAGGGAAGCATCTTAACTCCATTCTCTAGTTGGGGAACAAAACTTTATCAAAACCCAAATTGTATTTTCATTAAAGGGATTTGGTTAGATGTTGGGCTTCAATTGATTATATTTGAACTGTCAAATAAAAAGATATGGCTGTTGTTTTATTATTTCTCTATCTTTATTCTTATAGGGTTTGGGCATATTTCATTTTATTTGTTTTTTCATAACCATCTCAACCATTGGATGGATCATTGGCAAGCTCATAAAGGAGGTAAGTTTCATGACAACAGCCTAATTATTAATTTTCTATTGTGTGAGCTCATGGGTTAGGGTTAATTATGGTGGACCCACATATCAATAAACTAGTTGAAATGGTCATTTGGCATCCCTCTACAAGACCACAATGGAAGCACAGGTCAAATCCGTGTAAGTTGTAACCATGGGTTCTCTGTGGTAACTGGTAAGGTCCAACACGTACGCATCCTACTTTGTCCCCTCCCCACCCAATTAAGTCTCCTTTTGTAAAGTGTGTTATAGCTTGTTATATGACAGCCAGACAGAAAAAAAGTCAATATCAGAAACTTTTAATCTACTATTTAGGCTGCATTTGGCATTACTTATTTTAATGATTTTATCTCCTTTTTATAGTTAAAATGCTCCATGAATATAAAAAAGGATATAAAGCCCTTATAATGCCAAATGCAGCCTTGGATACCTCTAGCTCGATCTAGGACCTTTCAAAAATTAATCTATCCAAAATTCATCTTCAACACCATTTAAGTAGGGTTTTAGTAAAACCTTAATCGTGTATTGTGTGGATATTTTAATCCATTCATATATATATATATATATATATATATATATACAATGTAAATGCAATCTATCTTGTTTGATAATGTAAGGTTGGAATCCCATCTATTTTCACCAACCTTGAGTCTATTTTGTTCCCGTTTTGTATAAAACAATAAATTTACTTCAATTTTACAAAGATGTATTCTTATCAAATGCCAACCTTGGCTCTACATTTACATATTTATCAAATGCAGCCAAAAGAACAAGTTTTCTGTCCTCGACAGAAAAAGAAAAAAAAAAGGCCATTTTATTCTTGTGGGTTGATAATTGCAATAGGTTGCAGGGAGATCAAATCTGCCCCCCACTATGTCCCACAGTACATCTCCGCCGTGTATTAGAAATATCTTCTGATGATAATATCAGAAATGATAATGTCCTCATCGGGAGATGTTTTCAATATACAGCAGGGATGTGTTGTGGGACGTTGTGGGGGGCTGATCTGGATAGGAAAGTTTTTCACTATTCAGCCAATTTATTGTGGATTATTTGGAAGCAAAGAAATATGTTTGTTTTTGAATGTGTTGATCCTGATCCAAACTTGGCTCCGATTTTGGTTAGCAGGATGGTGATGGAGAGGATCATGACTTCCCAGTAAGGATGGCCTCCTTCCAAAACCCTTGAGAAGTCAAGTTCGTTCCCATCTTTTTAGTCAGATTCCTTCGCCAAGGAAATCGGCTTCAGTGCTCATAAGACCATGTTCACACTGTACGGTCCCTTGCAGCTTTGTATTAGGAATACCTTATAGAAAAAAATACAAATACGGAAATATTCACAATGCACGGTGTAAAAGGCTGTGCGAAAGATGTGAACATAGTTTTGTGAGCACTGAATCCGATCACTTTGCCAAGTTCTCTTAAAGTTAACATTGATGGTAGTTTCCTTGCCAGGCAAGGCAGGGTTTGGTTAGTGATAAGGGATCATGTTGGTAAGGTAATTAACATTGATGGTAGTTTCTATATCCTCTCCTATCCAAGTTGAGGCTTTAGCCATTTCCAAAGGGTTACATGTCTCTCAAGTTGTTTTTGAAAGCAACTGCCTTAGCCTCATTCAAGCTTCTAAGAGTAGAAATTTGCGTTGTATATTCTAAAAGCTGTAAAATCCTGTAATGTTTGCCTTTTGCTTTGTAAAATGGCCTTTAAACAAGGTTGCTGAAAAGCTGGCTAAGAAGGGCCTAACAAAGTTTGGCTGCTTTTTTTGGAGTTCGGCTTTAGCCAGTGCAAGCCCGTATTCATATTGTTTGAACAGCCTCTTGCAACCTTGCATTGGAAATATTTTTTCATGAAATAAAGCACATAAGTATGGAGATATTTTCAATATGAGATTGTAAAGGCCAATGTTTTCAACCCCGCTAGCTGTTGACATGACCGATCAAACCATTCAAACCATCACCTGGCTAAGATTCCAAGTCTAGTTCAGTCAAGACTCGTAAGACAGTCAAAACCATTGACTTGGTCAATAACCATTCAACCTAGGCGGTTCAACCGTTGACCTATTTGACCCGGTGACTGGGTCGTGGGTTGCACACTAAGTACATGCAAACTTTCGGAGGCCATAACTTTGCACTTTGATGTCCAATTGAGTTTTTTTCTTTATTTTGGGTAACATTTCAAGATTTATGCATCCCAAGGTGACCCACTATTTTCACGAAACCCCCCCCCCCTTTTTTTAATCTCAAATTGTAATTTTTAATATTTTTTATAAATAAAAATTAAAAACATAAATTAATATAAAATAATACATATAAGTATATAATATATCTAAAACATATTTGTGCATTATTTATTGTTAAATATATATATATATATATACTTAAATTAATACATATATACGCTGATGTGGCACGGTCTAAACTGTTCGACCTAACCAGTCGAACCGGTGACCCACGACCCAAAGGCAAAAACAATTCAACCTTTGGATAGGTTTTTAAAACATTGGTAAAGGCTGTTTGAACGGGCATTGTAGTGACTGAAGCCAAACTCTTTTTTTTTTTTTGGATTTGTCTTGATTGGTTAAAAGTGTTTGTGAGCCAATAGACCCTCTTAGGTTGGTTTGACTCGCTCTTATCTCTATTTTAGCTTATTTCTATATATTTCTTATCTACCAAAAAAACAGAAAATGGGAATTCTTTTTTTTTTAGATTTTTTTTTTTAAATAGAACATTCTTTAAAAGACCAAGTTTGAGAGTGCTTATTGAAAAATCAGTGCTTTACAATAAGTGTTTATGATCGTTTTGTAAAAAAGAATTTATTTTAAACAACAATTGTATAGGTATTTTCAAAATGAAATGACAGGTTAAGATAAGATTAGTAGCTCAACCCATTTCATTGACATTGACCTCACAAGCGCTCGTCCATTTTTGAATTTCGAGGGTAACTAACATACAAGACAAAACTAATGCCACCCGAATGGTCCAGGCTTTTAGTTCCCTTCTACAATCTAAATTTTAAATCTTAAACCCTAAACCTTTAAAATCCTAATTTTAAAAACCCTAAAATTTAAGTGTAGAGCAAATATATATATTTTCTCCTCCCTGTTTGATATCTTTTTGGCACAAAACATCGTATTTTGCATAAATGATCGATTCCCATGCAACAGTCCCACCGGATCTTACTAAGACACTACCATTCCATCAACTGCTTGATCAGAATCCCCAACGACACCTCCACCTTTTCATGGAACACTATCCTCCGTTCCACGCCTCCTCAGCATGTAATCTCCCTCTACCCCCACATGCTCCAGTCTGGCGTTCCTCCGAACAAATTCACCTTCACCTTCCTTATCAAAGCCTGCAGCAAAATCTCGAAACCCCAATTTGGACTTCACCTACATTGCCATCTCATCAAATTTGGATTTGGTCCCGACCCATTTCTGCAAAGCGCTCTTATGGGTCTTTATGCAGACGCTGGCCTGATTAACATTGCCAAACAGCTGTTTGAGCAAACTCCCCACAGAGACGTAGTCTTATGGACTTCTCTGGTCTCGGCTTATGCTAAATGCGGCCTGCCTGATGAAGCACGCCATGCTTTTGATCAGATGCCCGAAAGGAATGCCGTGTCATGGGCTGCTGTCATCTCTGCTTACTCTCAGGGTGCGCGTCACAAGGAAGCTTTATTGGTATTTGATGAGATGCACTATGCTGGAGTTGAGCCCACTGAGGCTACGCTTATCTCTGTACTCTCCTCTGCAGGATATATTGGTGCTCTTAAGGAAGGAAAGTGGGTCCATGATTACGTTATTCACAACCAGATCTTTTTAACTGCCAGTCTTGGCACTGCACTTCTTAGCATGTATGCCAAGTGTGGTTGTATTGATGATGCAATTCAAGTTTTTGCTGGAATGCCTCAGCGGGATGAACTTGCTTGGACAACCATGATCTCAGCACTCGCGATGCATGGACAAGGAGAGCTAGCGCTTGTTCTTTTTTATGAGATGCTTAGCCTTGGATTGAGACCGGACCATGTTACATTCGTTGGGGTCTTAAGTGCATGTAGCCATGCTGGGTTAATCGAGGAGGGCCGCTATCATTTTAAGTGCATGAAAGATACGTTTAGAATTGAACCCAGAGTAGAACACTTCGGGTGCATGGTTGATATTCTAGGCCGAGGTGGATATGTTGAGGAGGCTTGGGATTTTGTCCAAGCCATGCCCATGGAACCAGATGTTTTGGTGCTCAAGAGTCTTCTTAGCGCTTGTGCTAGTTATGGTAGAGTAGAATATGCGGAGTGGGCTGCTAAGAAGCTTAACAAGTTAGATCCAGGTATTGCTTCTTCCTATGTGCTTCTAGCGAATGCCTATGCCAACCTTGGTAGATGGGCTGATGCTGAAAGAGTGAGGAAGATGATGAGAGACCGAGGGGTAACAAAAACTCCAGGTTGTAGTCTGATTGAGGTGGGTGGTGTGGTTCATCAGTTTGTGGCCGGAGAAAATGAAGAACACCACCAAATTAAAGAGATCAAGTCCACGTTGCATCAAATGGACAAGCTTTTGAGATTAGTTGATCAATCACCAACGTTGTGAGCATGGTCATTGGCAGATACCTTATCCCCTTGGAGATGCCTCATTTTCTACTTGTGTACCCCACATTTGTTTACTGCTCCAGAAGAACCGATAAGAAATGGCAAGCAGGAAGTGTTTTCTGCATTTCTAAATACTAGCAAATTATTCCATGTCATACTCCAGGTTGGTTGCTGTTAACTCAAATACTCTAGTGCTTAAAGAACCTTCTAATGGTGGCAGCTTCTTGTCCCGTGGGATCAAGATGGAAATGCGGAAATTAAGAATCACTTATAAGTGAAAATACGAACAGTCTCAAAGTCTTAACACAATAAACACAACCTTCTGTAGTGTTATCGTAGGTTTTGGTTCATTGTTTCTATTTAACTAACAGAAGATGGTAGATCTTTATCCAAGCTTTGGCATGGTATGGAAATCATTTTATATTTTTGAACTTTGGACTGCTCCGATCTACATGAAAGGAAATTGAGTTTCCAAGTTGATTTTTGGTCATAAAACTGATGGTTCTCGCATCAAATTTCAGAATTTGGATTTCCCCTATGCAAGGCATCATCATGAATTTCAGCCTTTTACCCCGTTCCTTCACTTTGCCATCTTATGTAACATTTTCATTCCAGTAAGAACCTTTCTTTTAAAGACAACAGTATTATTTTTCCCCATTCATTCTCTGTTGGACCTCAAACAGCCTTGTAATATGAAACCGTTCAAGCTCATCATTCAGCCATATACAGAACTTTGGTTACCATCCATTAAAAACACCTTGAAGATAAGACATGGGAATGGTCCAATGTAAGGAGCTAAAAGTTGTAAGTAATAAACCACTCAGAAGTACTGTAGTAGCAGGCTGGCAGGTTCTGTCTAACCAAACCTAATTTACTGAGTATAACATCATTTTATTATACTAGCATGCTAGATACAAGTTTTGGTTTAAACCAGTATCCACTAGCTCAGAGAAAAAAAATGGCACCTAACTGAACAAGGATAGAAACACAGGTTCCAGCACAAATTTAAAGTTATAAACCTATACCTCGATTCAAGACCGTCAAGCTTTCAATAATAATGAAACAATATTCTCAGAGTAAATTCTTTCAACCCAAGAATTAGTGGATACTGGCTTAAACCAAAAGATGCGCAGAACGGGGCTATACAGGTTAGACTTAGACCTCAAACAGAACATATCAATTCTTCATCGTAAACAAACCTTTTAACTCCATTCTGAGCTAAGGTATCTGCAGCTATGCTCTTCTCTCCAGGAACATACATTATTTGGGGTGGGACAGAATTCAAGATGTCCCTATATATTCATCAAATGAGAAAAATTCCAAGGATGATGGTGCTAGCATCTTCACCTGATATAATCAACTGCATCCTGCATCCCCCTCTACACGACCATGGAAGAAAAAAATCCTTTTATTTTGCAGTAAAATCTTTCCTCATAACTTACAAGAAACCAGTCCTTATATTATATTGCAGAAGAGACTTGTTTATCAGGCCCTTATTAACAATCCTACATTTTCTGAAAAATCATTCATGGCAGCATTGCATAGTAACATATTCTTTTCTTGTTTACATTATAATGAAATTCTTTACCAGCATATCACTCACAAAGTTCTGAATGGTACTGTTAAGAAAGTCTTTAATAAGCCCGTCCTAGCATAATAGCTAATAAGAATTCTGTATCCAAAGTGTACAATCAGCTATTTAACATCCAAGATATCTTACTTACAGCCTCCTTATAAATCCCTGAAGAAACCCACTCCCAAAGAATACCACCATTGCTTCCTATGAGCCTTGACCTTCAAAGAGGGGTTCAAAGTCCTTGAAACCAGATTTGTCAAACAACCTCAATCAAGTCAGAACAAAGTTCCTCGCACAACACAAATATAGAGTACACTATAAGAAACCCCTAAATCACCGCATCATAAGGCTTGACAATTGATAATAGCATGTTGCCAGTAACCGGAGATGATGGCCAAAATGCACTCACAAACTTAATCATACAAAACTCTCTTATATTTGGAGTAAAGGGATAATTGTCTCTTAACATAATCATGACACCTGGAAACTGCTGATTTCCAGATGATTACTGATGACGACAAAAGCCACCAAACAGAAAAAAAAGGATGATCAGGTTCCTCAGACAGAGACTCGAACTAGGACGAGGCGAGAACCTGCAAAAGGAAAGAAAGTCAGAGAGCCCAGGGTGGATATCCTGGGCTTGAAATTCCTACATTCAAGTCAGTAGAGTGAAACGAGCTGTCCAAGGTGTTTTAAGGCTAATAAATGCAACTAAACTTCCAGGTTCTGGGTTTACCTTTATATAAGCTGGGACATTCATCTTGTGGATCAACACGTGGTGAGTCTGGTGACAACCTGTGGGAGGACACCTGTTAGATTTGAAAGACATGTTTAATGTACATGGAGAAAGTCTGGGCACCCCTCTCTACCAGAGTGGGTAAATTGGATGATCGTATCGCCAAGTGGCTGTTGTTTATCACACATGGATTTGCTTGGTTGTGCTTCTTCTGATGTGAGCTCAGCTTGGCAAGGTGTGTTTCTTTTGACCACAGCTCAGCTCGGTAGGAATGTGCTTCTACCAAGCTGGCCTAAGAAAGATGTCATTGAGAGACCTCATAGCTAACCACAATTTATGGTATCCGAGGTGTTATCAAATCTTTTTATGTAGCCACGTGTCACAATCCTGTTGGTGGTTAGTTTGACCCTCATCAATTACCCCTTAAGGTTGTGAAAGAGCAAGCCCATAACCTTTCTCCCAATAAACATGAGTAGAATGTATTTCTCCACTCTTGTACAGCACTACAACAAATGCTATGATCCACAAGGAAGTCAGATGGATAAAATTTAAAGTTACGTAGAATAAAAAAAATGAAGATTTGGAAAGGAGTGCCTCTTTCTGTGGGAGGACAAACAGTTGGAAAAGGGAAAAGAAAAAGAAATAAATTTAACTATTCAAAATTGGAGTTGGTTTCTTGAGTATTACATACATCTTGCCAATTCTGTGAAATGGATAGCTATGAATTCTTGAGTTTCTAGCTTTTAGACTTCTGCTCGCAACAATAGTACGAGAGGTTCTAGGTTTGACTGTAATCCACTTGGAGAAGATGACAGTATCAGCGAACTTGGAGAAGATATACAATGTGCAGAAATTTGGCTTACAAATCACCTCTGCATCCAAGGGCCAAAAATCCATAAAAATCTTTACAATTTTTTCTATGGACTTAAATTATGTTTCTAGTGATTTCTTTTCTMTTCTACCTGTGATGTAAAGCCTACTGTTGTGGGCTGTAAAGATATTTGTGGCGCCACATTGCAATACTCGGGGTTCTCAGATCTCCCCTCCAGTCTTGTCCATTGTATTGTCTCATGGTACATCGGGAAGAACCGCATCTGGATAGCTGAGTATGAAAAGTAAGGGACGAGGCTGGAGATTACCACAAAAAGTATGACAAGCCAGTAGGAGAGGGCTGGGGCACAGGCTTCAATGAAGACCTTGTAGGCAGTGGTGGATATGGTGGGGGACATAGCCCCATAGACCAAGAGGAAGAGATACCATAGTATGATTCCACCCCAGATGAAGATATGCTGTATTAGGGTGAAATAACTGACAGAGAGGGCCATCTGGCAGTTCACAACCCAAATGACACATGAGTACATAGTTGTACCCAGGATCCCCAACCCAACAACCTCACCTCCTTTGCGAAATGCTTGATGCTCCAATGCACTTGTGCAGAAGAAGAAAATGATTATGGAACTGCAAACTCCATTAAACATCCAGCTCAGAATTCGGCACCAGCTGAATAGGACATTTTGCACACCTTCTTGGTATAGTAGAGGGAACTGTAACATGAAAGACAGTAAATAATGAGTTACTAAATACATAGCAATATAAGTTAAAAGAAGGGGGAAATACAAATAAGAAGGATGAAAATACCTTTAAACAAAGCCTTGCTGAGACATCCTGATCAAACACACCAAGGGCAACCACTGGAAGTGATGTGAAGAAGACATTATAAAGAGACATATACCAATCATTATATGCAGGTTGCCCAGAGAATGATGCATAAGCTTCAAACAAGAAGAGGGTAAAACCGTATGTAATGTTTTTGTAGAAGAAGTAGCAGATCTGCAAAGCATCAGAAGGAAAATATCAACCTTTTACATTTAATTCATTTATTTGAGCTGAGGTTGGCATCAACTAACATTGTTAGTGGCTTGCAATGGGAGACATGACATAAAGGTTGTTAGAGAGCATTTTTTAGTTGAAAACTTGAAGGCTGAAGGGTTGAACTAGTAATGCACAAACTAAATGAAAATTGATGATAACTTAAGGTTTAAGTGTAAAAGACATGAAAATCTAACCATCGATGAGATCCTTCTGTAACACCAATGCCCGTGTACAAGTAGCAAACGTTCCAAGTATTGGAACTGAGCAATTGCAATGTCACTAGACATGACAGCCTGAAATTTGTAAAGAAGGAATGAGGAAAAACAGAACAATAATTGAAATTCTTCCAAAAACCAATAAGTTTAATTGGCTATCATTTTACCTGCATCCCTTCGACACCACTAATACCAATTCCAATATCTGCTTCTTGAAGCATCCCCACATCATTGGCCCCATCACCAATTGCTAATATTGTCTTACCTGTTCCACGTTTAACTAGTCGTGTAACCTGAATTATTAAAAAAATAAATACCTTGTTAGTCCAACAAATACCTGAAAGGGTGAATTTTAATGAAATAAACAACCACGAAAACTTACAAGTGCCTTCTGCTTTGGTGATGAACGACAGCAGATAACGGATGCACAACCAATTGCCAACTCTAAAAACTTGCTTTTGATATCATCCTCAAGAGCATAGGCAAGTGACTTTCCATCAATGATCAAAGCATATGTACTGTTGCCATTTGATGCAGTGAGCTGTGCCTTCCCTTCATTTATCTGATTCACAACACTTGCCTTTGAAGCCTAAAGAAGAATCCACAAAAACACATCAACATTACGTAATGCTTCATTTTCATTGTTATATTAACAAAGGTTCTAGAAGTCCATTTACTGAATACACTAGACTTTATCATAAACAAAAAATCAAAGATTACATTGGCATCGACATTTGATGCATACAGCTTATTCAGATATCATTATGAATGCAATTAAGTGCAGAAATCTAGTTAATGCAAGGTTTTCTTTCATTTGTTCTTTCTTTCTTTCTTTCTTTCTTTCCATGTCATTTCTTTTTTTTTTCTTTTTCTATTTTGGAAAGGGATCTTGATTCCACCCTCGTAAGTAATGGTTCAGAATTGTAAGATGTATAAGCTGAATAAGCAGGAAACAAGGCACCTGAACATGCTGGTATACTTTACAATAATCAGAATCCTGTTGGCAATGCTTTCAATGTTTGAGCCTTTCATTTAAGGGAAAACATGTGTGGAGCTGACACTGGTTTACTACAAAGGCCTTGTTTATGTCTCAATAAATGACTTACCTGGGTAAATGCACTTATCTAGGCATGTGTTTCTTGGGAAACAGTTATCCGAATAAGATCACTTACCAATGTTCTTTTATTCCCGAGGTAAATGTGTACAATGACCGATTTATCCAAAAAAGTGACATTGAAGGGATAATATTGTCCCATCACATATTAGCAATTTTCGGCGTGCGTGGGTAAGTAATTTACCCTGGTCTGAGGAGAGTATTACTTCCCTAGATAAATGAGATGCTCAGGAATCATTCTTTTCTATGGGACCCACTAATACCAAAAAGAAAATGCAGGTTTGTTTCTTTTCTGTAGGACCTACCAATTTACCTGCCCACACTTCCCGAAAAATAAATGTGGCCAACTTACCCCTTAAATTGAAGAGAATTATCCGCAAAGGTCTTTCTTGGGCCTCTCAAATAGAACCCACAATAATTCACTAAGTTCTTTTTTTTATGATTGGAAAGCCTCTTCTGAGTTATTTATCATTTTCCTTACACTAATCTCATTATCCACGCCTTATCCCAACTATATGGGGTTGGCTACATGAGTACTGTTTCACCAATCTGTTTTATTTAAAGCCATATCCATTGTTAAATTATTGGTTCTTAAATCATTTCTTACTACTTCTACCCATGTCCTTTTTGGTCTACCCCTAGCTCTTCTAGCCCTTCCATGTGTAACAAATCACTTCTTCTAACTAGAGCCAAGCTACTCCTAGGTTTCTATGGATGGATTCATTCTTGATCATATCCTTACACTAATCTCTTGCTTCATAAAATTTATAGGTCTAGGTGTGGGTATATTTGTTTCTTCTTTAGATTACTCAGGTTGGGGACTTTTCTTTCCAAGTATATTTTCAAAGTCATACCATAACATAGGTCAATGTGTTAAGTGTTGAGAGAATCTATATTTAATACACTTCTGTTTTCTCTTTTTTTTGGTACAAAATCCATCTGAAATAGTGTAGAAATGTTGCTCATAGAGTTTGGTTTGTGTTTCTTCTAAAAGTCAATCCTGTCCCAATTGAATTAGTCAGATGTATTATTTTGCTGATCAAAAAAAAAAATGATACAGATTATTTTGATCACTCAATCATCCTTTCATATTTAAAAACAACTGCACAATTGCCCATGAAAATCATCCAATGCCACTTCTGAAATAAGAACAAATGGGAAACTAACACTTACCTTGGCAATTGCAAACTTTTGCCCCTCTTTTTCCAATGCTTTAATTTCTGGTGTTTCCAAATTGATAATTATCTGCTTCATTCCTTGCCTTGGCAAACTACAGGCAAAGCTGCAAGATTGAACTAAAAGTCAGAAGATGAAGAGTACACTTCATGATATATAAATGTTAAGAAGAAAACCATATCCGAAATTAGTACCCAATGTTGATGGCAGTCTCCATCTTATCTCCAGTTAAAACCCATATTTTAATTCCAGCTTGCGCAAGCTTGTCAATGCACTGTGGAACCTACAAGAAACAAAATAGAATATTCACTCCAAGATCCTATGTTCATTCCAAAAAGAGTCCAATTATCTATGGATTTGCATCCCACCCCCCATTGAGATATTCTACCCACCCCATTTTGGAGTTTGTCCTCTACAGCGGTAGCACCAAGAAGAATCAAATCTTTCTCAATCTTCTCTGCCACTTCATCAACCATTTCATCCCGATCTGCACTGACTGAATTCTTGGCTTCGGTAAATTCCTCATTGAACGCCTTGTATTCTTCCTCACTAAGTTCACGATAAGCAAGTATCAAGGTCCTCAAGCCTGCATCAGCATACTCATTCATGTGATCCCTAGTCTGCTCTTCAAATTTCCTTCCATTCTTTGCAAGCCTCTCAAACATAACACTGCTTATAGAAAAATATGTAAGCAAATTTAGAATATAGAGGAAATTGCAAAGAAAGAGCCTTTTTTTATCAGTCAAAGAAAGAGCCTTTAGGTATAAGATATTTAATCATGCACACCATGTTTGATAGTAATTTACTAATTTTTCATATAATGTTGGCTTAAGTCATTTTTTTCTATTTACAAACCTGTCAGCACCTTTGCAAAGTAGTAACAGCTTTCCCTCTTCATTTTGTACTATCACAGACATCCGCTTTCTTGAGCTATTAAACTCTAATATATTCAAGAGTTTATATGACCTGAAAAAAGAGAGAAGAATACATAAAATATCCACTCACTGGCAAGTTATCAATACACAGATAGAATCAAGCAAGAAACACCTCCTAGACCCTGCATGCTAACTTCCATTTAAATTTCTATGGCCACTGTGAATTGTATATATGGATTCATCTTGATTGTAAGACTAACTGGTATAACCAGCATGTTTGGAACCACATCGACCATATAGGGGCCCATGTAACAGGACTCTGCAGATCCTTTTCCACAGAGTCTGGAATTTCTGATTCCTTTTTCTCTTTTATCTGTTTAGCATCCATAAAAAGTAAAAATACAATCTATGGATAGGCATAGACCTTGAACCTGGTCAATGTTAGATTCATAATGTTGATTATGACACAGTTCATAGATTGGATAGTTTGAAGGACATACCTACATACTGCCACAGAATATAGAAGGTTCAAATTAAATATATATATATATATAGAAGGTTCAAATTAAATATATATATATATATATAAATTGATGTCGTGCACTTAGAGCAGAAGAAGATTTCTCACCAACATATCAATGAAAGAAACTAACCTTTCAACCTGTTTTCCAGACACAGGATCTAACTCATGCAGTGAGATGCTTGTTTGTGTTCTATTGTAAAATGTAAATCCAAGTTCTCTTGCTGCAATCACAAAGGCTGCCTCATCCGGTGATTCGGCTTCATAGGAGATTTTCCCTGTCTCTTCATCCACTTCAGGTATGGCTGTGTGGCAGATTGCCAATAAACGTAGGAACTTCTCAATGACATCTGAGTGCGCCTCATTAACCCATTTTCCATTCATGATCCTTTTATCCTTAAAATTGAAGCCTTTAATCAATGGTTTTGCTGAAGCAGGATCTTCAACATCATTCCTTCCATCTTCCACCTCATGAACCAAAGGTGATCCTTTTCTTCTAGCCATAGCCCTCTCGACCTCTGTGACCCCATGGCCATAAGCTGTGCCGGCCACAGAACATTTAACAAATTCCATGGAGTTGCAGGTGAGTGTTCCAGTCTTATCAGAAAGTATGGTGTCAACTTGGCCAAGTTCCTCATTCAAATTGGAGGTGCGGGCCCGTGCAGGCTTGTCAGCTTCCTCATAGTACATGTGCAGATCATTGTTGATAAAGATGCTCTGCAGAACTTTGACAATTTCTATTGATACATACAAGGAGATAGGAATCAAGGAATTGTATAACATCAATGCAGTCAAAAAATGCAGAACAGCTGCAGTGGGTGCTTTCTTGGGATCAAAGTAGATGGTTGAATCATCAGGTCTAAGATACCACCTTTTCATCCAGCCATTTCCCAGGTCCTCATTAGTTGTAATCCCAAAGAAAATTGACCCAATCAAAGCCATTAAAAACAAAGTGCAAAACAAGAAGTAGACAATTTTATCCATCTTCTTCTCAATTTTACTTCTCTTTGATGGGGGCTCAGTGGAATTTTGAATAACTTTAGTGTCATGACCTGTAAAAACAACAGCCCCGTAGATGTAGTCTGTATTCCGAAGCTTTGAGTCCCTGAGGAGAAGTTGCTGAGGACTAAGGGGAAATTGTTGCTCCTTCACATCCATGCTTCCAACAAAAGTATACAGGTTCACATTTGGATCTTCACATTTAACAAGTGCCTTGAAATCCTGGAAGCTGGAATCCTCATTTAAGCCTGAAGTCACCTCCAGTGCCTGTTTTAGTTTCAAATTTGTCTCCCCATCAAGGTTCATGGTCTCAACATAGCAAATGGCATCACCATAACTGGATGAAAGCAATAATAAGTCAGCTGGAAAAAAAGAATCCTTCTCTACTTTCACTATATCTCCAACTCTCAGATTCTTCCATTCGGTATAGTTAAAAATGCCATTGCCACAATGCACCTTAACCTTCCGGTTGTTCACCTCAATGTCCTGAAAAATTTTAGGACATTAAATTAGGAAATACAGAACTGATTAATGCCTTAATTAATAGACTAAAAGAATAAGTACCAATATTAGGAATAGGGGACAAAGACAAAATTCAAGGGAAAAAAGAATGGAAGGAAAAAAGAAAAAAATCTACTTGTAAGAGAGAATCAGAGGGTAATGATGCATAATAAATCAACTATGATAAATTCTTAAAAAATCTTAATGAGCAAAGCACAACCAAATGATCATGTGGGAATCCTGACGTGAGTGAGACTAGAAACTAAACTAACAAAATAGATGGACTACAGGAAAATCTCTATTGGACCTTCCTAATCTGGTACTAGTCTTGAATTGAATTTTGAGCTAACTAGAGCAACATGAGTCAAGTCAATGTTAAGAAGGTTTAGGAATATATAATTCATAGAATTGAAATTTGTTCTTGCTTGAAATCTTAAAAAAAAGGGAATAAATAACAGCAGCAACAAAATACAAACAAGCGACAGCAATACACAATAGTCTTGCTAAGGCAGGGCGCATAGAAGTGTTTTGGTTGGTGATGCTTTCTTTTGTGCTTTCATGTACATGTTTTCATGTTTTTCTTAATATAAGTTACCTTTTCTTCAAAAAAAAAAAAAAAACAGCAATACACAATGAGTCTAAATGCTGTGCTAGTTTTAACTACACATTCCCCTTTTCACAATCTGATAGATGGATTAAATTTCTTCCAAGTACACCAAAAATGCAAATATTGAGGAAATCCTTTTCAATAAGCAGCTCTAAATAATTAATGCTTTTTCAATAAAAGCACCTCCTTAGATGCAGGACAAACAAAATCCTACTGTTATTAAGTTTCAAGAGTAAAATAAACTAGTGGCCATTCCTTCAGGATTAATTGTGTCAGACTCGCAATTCATAAAACCACAGATGTTATCTCACTTCTTACCAAGAAAGAACCACTTTAATTCCAAATTGAAATCAAATGACTAAATAACCTTGTTTGGAAAACGTCCAGCTTATATCACACAGGTTATGAGTTTAAAAAAAAAAAAGAAAAGAAAAGAAATCTCTCCAGAAGAACCAGAACTACTCAAACTCAAAGTACATTCAGAGCATAAAAACAGGTACCTGTTTCTTTCTCCTCCAGTCTTCAATAGCCTCTTTGATCATGGTAGCCCCAATCACAATGATAAGAGGAATAATGGCACTGACTGCAGCGTAAGGAGCAAGCGGAGTGAAGGACAAGCAGCCAACGACTAGGAAGTACATGTTAGCGACCCTCCTGAACTGCTCGAACAAGGACTTGGGGAAGAACGTGGCGAGTGTATACTTTGTTGTTCTAACATAATTCCCTCCATAATTGCGTGAAGTGGCCTCAGAACAATCTGGTTCATTGCAGAATACCAACCTCGAGAAGCCCGGACCACCAATCTGAGAAAGGTCGTCCTTGAACGATGCTTTCCCACAGGCGAAAGAATAGATCTTGCTGAAATGTAGCTTCTTTCTTCTTCCATCACTCATCTTATAGCTCTGCTGCCAATTCCACCAGAAAAAAAAACTCCCAATAAAATGTAGCTCCTATTCCTAAAAGAAGGACTACCTCCCACCAATTCCCAGAACCAAAATCCCCCAAAAAACCAACTTTTTTAACAGAACACCCACCAAGGCACCAATCAACTGCTAAGAGCAGAGACTCAGAGACACAGCACAGAAACAAACTCAGGCCCCGGAAGAAAAAATAAAATATAATCCAGAAAAAAAAAAATGGGAACTGCTTCAGAGACAGAAAAGGGAGCAAAATCCAGAAAGATCCAAGGAGTTCTCCAAATGTACCACCCAAAAATTAAAAAAGAAAAGAATGTCCTCAAGATACAGACAAAACAAAGCTAATTGTCCGAACTGCAACACCACCCTTTGGTTTACTAACTGTAATCTCAAGCGAAATCTCTGTCCCTCAAACAAGAGAATCCCAGAAAAAGACAGCCCTTGAACCCTCAAACCCACTTGTCAAACACCGGAATGTTTCCATCTCATATCCAAACGCCTTATAAATAGCAATGAACGGGACAGAAAAAAAAAATTCCCGTTTTCTGAATTTTCTCCGTCAATGAAGGTAAGCTTGAAACTTTAAGCACAGACCTCTATCTCTCCTTCGAGTTGCAGACGATAGCGACCATACAAACGCGCATACGGAGACGATCTCAATTCTCAACTTCAGCTTTCGTCTCTCTGAAAGCTACCGAAGAACACGAGGGGAAATAATACCTTTCATTAACTAAACCAAACTCCAAGGAAGCCCATTTCTAGAAGTTGAATCAAATCTCTGCTGCAATAGTCGCCAGGCTTCTGGAGCTTGAATTTCGCGGGTACCACCCACAAGTCACGACTGGTCTTCGTAGAAAAAGCGACGAAATTGTTTGTTAAACCTTGTTTCTTCCTAATCCTACGTATACGAGAGAAAATCTTGTGTTGAGTCTAATTACTGATAACTGCTCGCTGTAATCAACTAATTAGACACGCGTTCTAAATTCAGGTTTGGTTGGTTAAACTTAAACATCATCGCCAATAAAGGGAAGAAATTTGTTTCGAAAGAACCGAAGATAATTAGATACGCCGTCATGGCGAAGAAATCGCGACGTGTGGAGGAGTCAAACGAGGAGAGAGAGAGAGAGAAATGGCGACATGTGGAAGGGTCAAACAAGAGCACTCAGAGTCACATGCATTCCCACATTTTTCTATTTTTGATATATATATAGTGAAGGTACTAATTGAATGTCACGTGCAAATTCACGTGTGAGAGGAGATGGAACCAAAGTAACGGTGACGTGGACGTGAGGCCAAGGCAAGTTTGGGCGTTACATTGGCGAAGATGTTTGATTTGATAGAAAGTAAAGAGAGGAAGTGAAAGTTCAGAGAAAGTTCACAAAAGTAAGTACTTGAAAAGAATTTCACAAAAGCAACTTTGGGCTCATGTTCGGCCTTTCCGTTTTAACTTTTAACTAGGGTAAGCGATTTGGTTTGGCTGGATCGGATCGAACCGGATTTTTCTACATCCAATCAGCTGAATGTGATGGCTATTTAGCTGGCTGAGGAACTAATGATAAAGTTTCATGCTGGTAATAAATTCATAGCTCCACTGTCAAAGGTGCAGGGTCCCATTGTATTCTTATTGGATATTGTTGATAAATTAAACTAATTTTATCAGAAAAATATATATTATTGATTTCTTGATAATTGGGATAAATCCCTATTCGATCCGGTTATAAACAGATCATAATTGGCTTAAAAATTTGGATCAGAATCGATTTTAAATTCAGATAAATGGATATGATGAAAGAAAAAAAAAAATTTATCGTTGATGCACATTTATGTTATTAGCTGATTCTGTTACAATCTTTGAAGGAATTTATTAATTTAATTTGTTAACGTGAAATATTGTAAGAAGTTCGAAACATAAAATCTTTATGACTAAAGCCAACCCTTTCGGCTTATTACACCCAACCATAAATGTGGTGGATTTTAGGACTGGAAGAGACGTGAGTGCAATGCAGTTTCAAATCATATCTAATTTAGCATCAACCTTAACTCTGGAGTGTTAGCCACGTGGAAAATATTGAATGATATTGGTGGCTTCATCAGACCTGAAATTATCTCAATTCTCAAATTGTGAAAATATTGAACAATTAAAAATTTGATCCTGTTTGGAACATGGGATCTAACTGCAGAGCTTGACCTTTGATTCATACCATCTATCTTATTTTGTCAATAAGTTGATTAAGACTTTATTCCTTACTTATCTCGAAGGATGCGTATGTGGTTATGTAGATTGTAGAACTTAAGCCCTCTTTTGTCATCAACCTTGATTTTTATGGGCCACCATGAAAATATGTCATCTAAGAAAATTATTGTGATCGCTACAATTTGAAAAAAACGATAATATAAATATCTTGAGTGCAAAACTATTTCTAAATCTTATATTGCATTGTTGTTATTTGTCTATGCTTTCTTCTCAAACTGAGTCAAGAAAAAAATGGGAATGGCTCATGTTGTGTTTGGTGTTTTCAATTAAACTTATTTCTTTTATTGTAAATTGAAATGTTATGGGTTGATCAATATAAATTGGTCAGAAGTAGGGGTGGTTATGGGCCAACCCAACTCATGATGAGTTTTGCACCCTATGATAAGGGTTATAACCTAGACTTGGGTCTAGTCCGACCTGGGCTTGATTCCAAGCTTTTTAATTTTAACTTTTATCTAAAATACATTAAGTATATAATTGTTTATATTTATATGCATATAATGTGAATAAATTTTGATGATGTGCGATCTGGTGCTCTTTGTTGGCAGATAGTTCGGACGTTAGACTGAGTAGGTCGCCTGGTTGAGCTGCAGGAAAGAAGTGATCAGAGTATCCATATTGCTTTACTTGGGGTGGGCACTCCGATGGTTAAGTCAACAAACTAATAATGTGATTGCATGAATGCAAGAAAGCTAAATCATGCGTACATTTTCTGTGGGGACGTCTTTATATAGGCAAGTTGCCGTAAGACTCACGAAGTGCGTCCAAGATCTCTATCCCATCTAGTTCGGAGGTAGTTTCATGCCTAGAGATGGACTCTACATAAGCGGGCAGTGTCTATCCAGTCGCATCCGAAGTAAGAAGGGCGATAACTAGCTCTTCCACGTGGCATCATGATCCCGGGGAAATCGGAGATGATAACCCACTCATGGAGGAGGTTGTCCGGCACGTCAAGCAACCGAACTCGAGTCAGGTCAGTAGAAGCAGGTCGCCTCTTATGCTGACCTGATGTCTTATCGGGTTGTTCGCTGTTTGGCCTGCTGAAGTGGTGTCGAGGTTGTCAAGGCAGGTGTGAAGTATCCGAGGTGATCCCAAGGTTTGCTTACACGTGGTGCTGAGATGTCATCTGCTTGTTTTGAGGTCCACATGTCATCACGTCACTAGAGAGCCAAATCGCCCCTCATCAAAATTTATTTTATACATTGTATAATATAAAATAGGCAACATCTATGATGCATCAACTGCACCATTATATAATATAAAACACACTGTTCATCATTTTCATCCTCAAGAAGATGAAACAAAGCCCAAGCTCTCAATAGTCTAGTCCGTCATTTCATGACAAAAACGTCCTTGATTGGTGAATTGAATTCACACTGTTATCACTAATGAATTACCTTAATGGTCATGGGCGTGAACACAAACAAATTGGTGATATTGAAGGCAAAGGAAGAGATCAGAAACCCAAGTTGATATCTTTTTACAGAGGATGATGATTGCCACGGATGGAGGTACTCGAAGGATGCCACAGACATTGCACAACAGACCCCAACCAATGAGAAATATGCCGACAACATCTTGTTCTACAGGTTCCCGAACTGGTGCCTCGGAAGATTCCTAGAACAAGAAAGAAATGAGTAATTGATAAATCGATGAACAAGTTTTAGATTTCTTATCATAATTCTTACCACAGTCTATAGTTACTGGAAGGATGGAAATTTGGGGATTAAATAAGAGATAGATAGAGTGGGAGACGAGAGGGGTGGGGGCTAACATACTTGAACATGATAATTCCGCCGATAAAGGTAACCCATAGAGTTGCGCCAAAAGCGTCAACAAATATCCACCATTTGATTTTGATCTAAATATTTCGAGAGAGAAAAGAACCCCAATTGTGAGGAATGCCAACGCCGCTAGAAATCGAGTTAACCAAGCTATATATCTCTCTCTCTCCTTCAAGGAAACTAAATTTGAAATGACTTTAATTATTGCCTTGTTCACTGTTCATCTCCTATTGAGCGTAGCATGTTGAGGCTGAAAATTTTGATGGTTGGTTCTGATTTTAGTAGATGGTTAATAAAAAAAAATTAGATAACACTTGAAAGGCATTTGTGTCTTTTCACATGCCATTTAACGGCTGATTAATGATAAGTACTGAATTGTCACATTCCGAAAGCCTGAGTACTAGATTGTCACATTTTAAAGTTTGAAAATGAAATTGTCACTTGAGCCAAATTATAAGGTACTGATCGGGAATTTTCCCTATTTTTTACCCTAATAATAATAAGCCCACTATGGACTCATGGAAAGGGAAAACAATAGGTGAAATCATGGTTTATGAATCAGCTCAGACCTTGGAGATCAAGTAATCTAATACCTTTAAGAAAGTCAAGACTCAAGAGAGAGAGGGATTCATCACCCATAGTCCCAACTCCCATACCCATGTGAGTTGTTCTTTTTTTTCGGTAACTTGGCCCATGTGAGGTAGTAGTAGTGGTTATCTCGAATCCCTCATTTTGGTAATTGCATTAACATTACTAAACAAACTCCCCCTTTTTATTTCCCATAATTGCGAGATTATTAATGGTTGGGTTAGATGTTCAAGGCAACGCGGTTTGACCCAAATAACCTGACCCAACCCCAATTATTCTTCATTGCTAAATTCAAAAATAACACAACAACATGCCTACTTTTTCGGGGGGCTTGCCGGCTTAGGGACCGGTTTAGCCCCACCCACCAACCCTAGACCCATTGCTACCTCATGATTCAGCATGCTTAATTAAAACCAGTTTACCGGTTTAAGCAATGTCTTAATGGTTCAACCCCATGGAAAATCATAAAAAACCAGGAGTTGGATAGCTCACTGAGTTACCCAGCTCAACTGCTTTCAAGTTCCAAACAGTCGTAACTTGTAATTTTGGTTGCATAGGTCAAAGCAGAAGATTACGAAGGACAAATGTCTCAATCTTTTAAAGTACAAGGTATAATGATGGTCAAATTTGTTTGTTGCAAGGAAAGGATCCCAACTTTATCGGTTATGGTTGTTCACACTTCACACAAAGAATATACTTGCTGCAAAATTTTCCAAATAATTTATCTTCCATGATGGGCATTTCTTGCCCCGGTTTTGTTTCCTTCACGTTTGGGTTCGGGTTTGACATATTCTAACCACTTCACATGGTGCTTCATCTATAAACCAATGTTTTTGAACCATCATTGACCTGGACGGTCAGACCATTCAGCCCGAAAACTGTCCAAACAATCGGTTCCATTTCACCCCTAACTATTATTGGGTCAAAACCCGTTGATTTTGTCAAAAAACCACCGACTCAGGTGGTCGAACCGTCGACTTGTTTGACCCGGCCAGTGGTTTGTAATATAAAGTTGCAGAGAGGAGAACTCAGATCTGAGATTCAGTCTGAGACACGAACTCAGATCTGGGATCTAGCACAAAGAGAAGAAGAAGAAGAAGAAGTCTTTCTTCCACAAGTGTTTTAGAGAAATTGATCTCAAATCTGAGATCCAAGAACTCATATCTCAAATCTGCATCTTTTTCCGCCGTCGCCATCGCCAGTGAGCATTTAATCATCCTCCTCTTCCTTCTTCTTCCCTCCTCTCCTTCCTTCTTCTTCTTTCTTTTTTTCTTTCTCAACCAACAATAGTTCTCCTTTCTCCTTCTGCTT